CGTTCACTCAAACCTTAGCAATATCAAACTTCTGGAATTTTTGGTCCATAAATGCAAGGGAATTGAGACTCAGATAAAACTCATTACAGTATGTTCCTTCAAAGGATAGTAATGATTATATTATACAACTATTTTTCAAGGTTTCAAAACCATATATAGCGTTTATGCATTAGCCATTCCCTTTTTCATATGGTCTATATGGATGCCGATGATGACATCAAGACTGTAAAATACTTACGAACTTTGCTGGCCAAGAAGTTACGATAGGTAAGACCTGGGTAATTTTCCTTGAAGAAGGCGTCAGTTCTCTCTGCATATTCATCAGATATAAGGTTACCAGATAGGTCTAGGAAGTTTAGATTACTGGAAATGTGATTGATGATGTAATCCACTCCAATATCAGTCATTCGATTACAAGAGAGGTCAAGCTTGCTTAACTTAGTTTTTGGCAAATCCTTTGCAATAACAATCGCACACTCATCGTTTAATTCGCAGTAAGATAGAATCAATGTAGAGATACTGCAAAGGATGAGAGATGATAGCAATCTGCGAAGACCAGAACTAGTAAACGGTGACAGGAAAATACTCAATACGTGTGGCGGTGATGATATTGATGTAGCAGTGGATTCTACTAACATAGCGATTGCTGGACAGTCCGTGTCGGTTACATCAAGTAATACAATCTCCCCATCAGTAGACCAGTATCTGTAGTCACGGTTTGTATTTAGTTCTTGTCTTGTAAAACGTTTTTCTTGACCAAACTCGTGCAGGCATCGCAATGACACCAGTCTTAGTCTGTTTTCACCTTTAATGTGTTTACCTAGACACTCTAGTAGTTCTACCATTGATTTCTTGTTATTATCTAAACCTAACAAACCGCTCATGAATGTGTACACCATTTCAGTGGTTCTTCGTGCCGCCATTACACCTTTCTTCACCAAATACCGAGCAACAAAAAACTCTTGAATGGCGAAGTGCGTGAAGCTGTATTCACAGATTGGCTTTTGAAATGGCAAATTATTACTTGAAACAGGATAACAAAATATGAGATTACTAGATTTTATGTACAATAATTCATTTTCTGATA